CCCCGGGGCCCACCTGTGTAGCACAGCGCGGTCTTGGGCTTGTGGCAGGCATCGTCGTTCCACTTGCCGGCGTCCTGGGCCCGCTTGATGTAGATCTCCACGCAGTCCTCCTTGCTCTTCTTGTTGTTGGGCTCCCCGTGGCCCCAATTCTCCGCCTCTGCAGTGAGCGTCTTGTTGGTGCCCACCCAGGTCCAGACCCCGCGGACCTTGCGGATCCCGATCCAGTAGTAGAAGCGGCTGAAGGGCAGCGTCTCCTCCAGGTAGGCGATCTCGCCCTTGTTCTGGATGGCCACCAGGTCCGTATAATTGCGCTGGCAGAACCTCCGGGCTGCGGCCCAGTTCATCGGTCAGAGTAATGGTACGTCCAGCAGCCGGCCCCGTGATGTGTCAGGAGCTCTGAAAGACACCGCCAGGACAGGGAGGCCGTGTCGCCTCACCCAGCCCGGCCGCCGCAGGGACGCAAAGCCGCCTCCGCTCAACCCTCTGCCTCGAATTTACAATGGAAAGCCTTTACTTGTGTTTTTGTTTTGGACAAATTTGGTGCCTTCTTAGATTTATTTTTCTAATTTTCAAAATTCTTTCGAGTGAAATTTGACCAACATATTTTAGATATTTAATTTCTTTTTTTTTTTCTTTTTAAGTAATGATTAGCAGTTATTTAAAACTAACTGGAGTGTAATAACTTGTGACTGAAATTTTATAGTCCACTTTTTTTTTTATACCAGGATAATTCCTAAAGTCCAATATGTATGTATCTAAGGGAGAAGCAAAGTAAGGATAGAAAGAACAATGACATACTTTTTAAAAATTGCTTTTAGGGACCAGGAGTTGGTGTAATGGCTATGTTGCTTGACTCCCATGTAGTCGACTGCAGTTCGAGTCCTGGATCCGGTGGCCTAAACTCATGCTGGGTGCGTGTGTGTGCGTGCCCAAGATCCCGAGAGGAGAATGGAGGAGAAGGGATTGCGGCGTGGCCATCCCCCGGGGAGGTGATTTTCCACTTTCTGTCTCTCTGTCTCTCTCTGTCTTTCTGGCAAGCACACGCACCCTATAGCAAAAACCTCTCCAAAGGAAAAAAAAATTGCTTTTATATCAAAAAGACACTATTTGACCATAGGAAGAACTGCTTGTAGGAAAGCCTCACTATACAGCCCAATCTTTATATATCTAACACTTTTTTTTTTAATTACAAAGGGATCAATTTATAAAATGAGACAACGGAGGATTGTGATTTTTATCAGATCATGTTCTGTACACAAAGATACTCAACTGATGGTGTTTAATAAACATGAGCTGCTTCAAATATGACGGCTTTGAGCGACCTTACACACAGGCGCACAGTAAGCCATAACGATACCTGTCATCCGAAGCATGGTCTGTCCTACGCAGAGCAAAGCACATGCCAGCTAAGCGCGCTCACACCCCAGCATCTGCTGAGTTGCACTGTGTAGGGCAAGTGCCATGGAGAAATGCCAAATAAAACACAGATCTAATTCTTAGAGTCTCCCAAGGATTCTGAGCAAGGAACAGCAGACACAAAAACACTTCATTAATCTTAAATTAAATATAATCCGAAATGAACAAAGAACTAGGAGCTGGGGTGTCTTAGGGATCAGGCATAAAACTAGTCACATCCGTGGGAAAAGGACACCAAAATCTAAAGCCTTGCCATTAAGGGGCTGACACTGTAATCACAGAAATTACATTGAGTTATACTGGACTGTTCCTAAAAAATAGAAAATGGAATGCTAAACGTTTGGTACAGATTGCAAGTGTTCTATTAGAGATTTCTCAGTTAAGTTCATTCCTTTCTAACTTCGACTATCGGAGAACTATCAGAGCTGGGCCCTGCAGCGAGGGCTGTGGCAGGCAGAGGTAGGGGTAGGAGGTTTCTAGAGACGTACGCGAGGTAAGAGAAGAGAAGCTGCAGGAAGGACGGAAGGCAGAGCTGTCTACTCGTCATTCTCCCTGCTGCTCCGTATGCCTAGTGGACATTTAAGACAAACAGGCTTCCCTATAAAGGCTTGGCGATACACGAATGTTGTAACCCACCACAGCACAGCACGGTCCAGATCCACAGCTTGAAGGCGGTCCAGGAGCCCCTCTGAGCATACCGATGTCTCCATGGAAATATCTGCGAGTAAGAGTTACACTCAGACTTAGCCTCTGTGCCACGCGTTTGGCCGCCTTGAGGTGGTGCCCACACCACTTCCTTAAAAGTCCAAATTAAACACACATGTTTACTAGCCCTGTCTATCTATTGCATTAACGCAAGTTATAGGTGTCTCAGGCACCTGGCGAAAATTAACATCAAATTGTCTCAAAACTGGTATCTGTTTTGGTTTGGTTTCATGTTCTGGTCTCAAGTTGCTAGTCACTGCTGCTCTATTTCTTTTCTTTTTTTCACATTTTAGACATTTTTGTACCTGCTTTTCTCCTGAGCTGTGAGATCAAACTATTTTATATTTAGTACAGAAAGTTTAAAAAGTGTTCTTGGTGCTTAATGAGCTACTGATGTTTAGAGTTAATGTTATCACCTTACGCTTCATCATCATGGAGCAACTTCAAACACCAGAATTAATCCAACATCAGAAAATAAAAGCAACTCTCTCTCTCTCTCTCTCTCCAAATAAAAGAAACACATTTTTGAGCAACTGAAATGACAAAACCTGAGGTTTTCTGCACAGCTTGAAGCCATATTTTCTGCAGTATACCCCTCTCAGAGTGCTACAGTGTTTAGGTGCTGAAGTGCTCATCTCGGTAGTTCCTCTTCAGGAGTCTCACCAGAGAAAAAGCCAGAAAAAGAAAATCAGTACCTCTGAAAGAGGAGAGATTCTGGGATCTCCTCTTTGAGCCTCTGAGGGCAACTTTTAGTTTCTATCTTTTTTAAAACTAAAAACAAAATGGGTTGCTCCTTGCCCCTTGACACCCGCTGCTACAGTCCCCAGAGTTGCTCTGTAGTATCTGGAAACCCTCAGGCAGAAGCTCACCATGGCTTCGCTGGGTCTTCTCCAGTTCCCTGGTGGCCCCTCAGCCTCTCAGCTCAGCACTGGGGTCTTCGGGCCCTGCTGGCAGGGAGTCTGCTGTAGGGAAGGCTGTGCTGTTGTCACCAGGAAGGTTCACCTCCCTCCTCTAACCAGTCTCACCTCTTCCTCCTCTTCCTCCTCCTCCCCCCTCCTCCTGTCCTCTCTCCCCACCCCTTTTCTACACCGTCCCTCTTCACCGCTCCTGAGATGAAATGAGCTGCTGACCAGGAGTGGAGGGTGTTGAGCTCCTGGAAGGTATTGTGGCTGAAGTCTCCCTTCCTGTTCTTCCTTCTCTCCAGCTTCTTATCCTGCCTTCCATTCTCCTGTATGTTTTTCCCTCTCCTCTTCCCCTTCCCTTAACATTCCTTCTCCTCTTGCCTTTTTTTTTTTTTTTTTCTTTTTAGCAGAGATTTTTGCTGTTAGGCTCACATGCTCACGGGAAAAGCAGAGAGTTAGAAAGTGAATGGCCACACCACAATCCCTTTCCCTCCATTCTCCTCTCAGGATTTGGGGCATGCATGCACCCAGCCCAAGTTTCAAGCTGCCAGGTCCAGGACTTGAACCACGATCAGCCATGTGGGAGTCCAGTGACATAACCTTACTCCATCTGCTGGTCCCCCTCCTCTTGGTTTCTTCTCCTCTTTCTTCACTCTTTCTCTTTCTCTTCTTTTTCATGAACACTAAGCTAGTTATCCAAGGTAGAGGGCCCGTGGTGATTGCAAATCGAAACTGTGTTTTGGAAAAATTCATGGTGTCCCTCTTAAGTAGTGCTAACCAGCTGAGGACTGATTTCAGTCCCTCTCCTCCCTCTTCCCTTGCTCTCCCCCTAGTGGAGGTCCTTGTTCATGGCACTTCCTAGAGTTAAACTTCAAAGAAAATGGGGTGTGGGGTGTGTGGGGGGGGTATGCTTTTTGCCCTGGGGGCGTTTAAGGAACCACAAGTGCCTTTAGATTCCCAGAATATAACATGTGAAGGAGATAAAGTTGTACTGTAAAAGGACCCAGGATGAAGGACGATCCGAAGGAATTGGCAGACACAGTCAATTGTGGAGAGCTAGCAGCAGCCACAGGAGAGTGCAGAGCTCAGTGCCACAGGCTCACTCCCTTGTTTACTCTCCCTCGCTGAGGCCCTGTTATTACCCACATTCTAAAGAGCCTCAGAGAAGTGAAGGACGTTGCCTGAGTCGCACAGCTAGTAGGGGGCAGGGCTGGTGGTTGGGACCAGGCCAGTCGGTCTGACATGTCTCCTGCTCATTAAACTGAACATCTGGCAGGAACGTGGAAGGCCTGGGGTATAGGATCATGCCTGGGCCGAGGAGAACGGCAAGAGTTCCGAGTTCCCACGATAGCCTCAAAGAATCAGCCGGACTTCTATTGCTAAGTCCTCTCCAACTCTCTCTCCAACCTCACCCAATCAGGTTTCCAGTTGCACCAGCTCCCTGAACTGCTCTCGACAAAGTTCCACTCTTCAACACCAACAACCAGTCTTCCATTCTCATCTTATTTGACATGCGCCTCCTAGGTTTCCCTTATGTTTTCAAGCCGCCGGGTCTGGGACTTGAACCATGGTAGGCCGTATGCTGGGGGTTGGGACCAGGCCAGTCGGTCTGACATGTCTCCTGCTCATTAAACTGAACATCTGGCAGGAACGTGGAAGGCCTGGGGTATAGGATCATGCCTGGGCCGAGGAGAACGGCAAGAGTTCCGATTTCCCACGATAGCCTGAAAGAATCAGCCGGACTTCTATTGCTAAGTCCTCTCCAACTCTCTCTCCAACCTCACCCAATCAGGTTTCCAGTTGCACCAGCTCCCTGAACTGCTCTCGACAAAGTTCCACTCTTCAACACCAACAACCAGTCTTCCATTCTCATCTTATTTGACATGCGCCTCCTAGGTTTCCCTTATGTTTTCAAGCCGCCGGGTCTGGGACTTGAACCATGGTAGGCCGTATGGGAGTCCAGTACCTTAACCATCATGCCATCATCTGACCCTTGTCCTCTTCTTTTTAAGAGAGAGCGGGGCTTTACTTTCTTTTTTGTTTTTTATTCTTTTAATATTTTACTGGACATCTTTTTTATTCTCTTAGTTTGCTGGTCATTTACTCCTTAAAAACTATGGTCAAATCCAGAGTTTTCTTCAGAAAAGTCATTTGTTTCTGGCACCCAGCCAAGTGTGTCCAGCCTCAGAGCTGCACCACACCCCAGCACAAAGGCATGCCAGTGTGTCGGCTGAAGGGCCTCAGGTCTGGTTCACAGCTGGAGTGTTTTCGAAGGAGGGAGTTATTGAGTGAACATTGTCAAAGACCCATGCAATCTAGTCACTTGTCTACACATGTCAAACTCTGCCCTCGTATCCAGTCAGCCTTCGTGAAGACTTGGGCCGCATCAGCCTGGCCCGTCACTGAGCCCCGCCTGGCAGTCAATGCTGTGCCCTGCACTTGAGAAGTCAAGGCGTTCTTCGCATGGATGACTTTGAGTCATATGGACTGATCCTCTGTCTGTTGAAATTTTTTTAGAATAAAGTGGGAAATGTGGTTGAATCGAATGCACCTTCCTCTATACAGTATTTCTCAGCTGATGAAGAAGGAAGTGCTGACACAGCTGTGGTGCGGACACCCCTGAAATCAGGCTGCTCTGTGAAAGCCTGACCTGGGCACGCAGGTCTGACTCCCTAACACGAGCATGTAGAGCAGGGGGGTCAGAGGCGGCAGAAGGTTAGAGGTCACGGGGGCCGAGGCAGGGTGAACAGGGCCTGATTTCCTTTTTTTTTTTCTTTTTTTTTTTTGGAGAGGTTTTTGCTATAGGCCGCGTGTGCTCACCAGACAGACAGAGAAAGACAGAGAGACAGAAAGTGAGAAATCACCCCCCAGGGGGATGGCCACGCCACAATCCCTTCTCCTCCATTCTCCTCACAGGATCTTGGGCACGCATGTATGCGCACCCAGTTTAAGTTTAAGCCACCAGGTCCGGGACTCAAACCATGGTCAACTACGTGGGAGTCCAGCGACATAGCCATTACGCTAACTGCTGGCCCCAAGGACTGATTTCTTATTGACTATAGGGTTTTATTTCTTCTTTGTTTTGAAAGTTTTTGTCATAGTGTACATACACTCACCCGAGACAGAGAGAGGGAAAGGGAGAAATCACACCCTGGCAGGTTGGCCACACTGTAATCCCTTCTCCTCTGGTCTTCCCTTGGGGCCCTGAGCACACACCTACACGTTTGCCCAATGAGATTTTCAAGTCACTGGGTCTGGGACTCGAACCATAGTCAGCCATGTGGGAACTGAATGCTTTAACTACCACGTCACCTGCTGGCCAGGTTTTCCTTTAATGAAAATGTTTTGGAACTAAATCAAGGTGGGGATGGCATGACAAGTCAAAGTATTAACTGCCACTGAGTCGTACACTCTAAATGGCTGCTTTTATATATGTGAATTTCACTTCAATGTTTTAAACATTTTCCATATGGCACCCATTGCTGCCGTAGAGAGACAGGGAGACAGAGAGAGAGGGAAAGTGAGGTATCATCCCCAGACGGGATGGGCATGTCACAAACCCTTCTCCTCCATTCTCTCCTCTTGAGATTCTGAGTATGCACACACGCCAGCCTGTTCCTCAAGTCGCCAGATCCAGGACTGAACTCTGCAGTCAGCCGTCTGGGATCCAGCTGCCTTAACCACCACACCACCTGACTGGCCCATCTCAATTTTTTTTTTTTTTAAATCAATGCATGGGACCAGCAGATGGCATAGCAGTTACGTTACTGGACTCCCACAAGGCCGACTGCGGTTCTAGTCCCAGACCCAAAGGCTTAAAACTCATGCTGGGCGTGCACATGTGCATGTGTGTCCAAGATCCTGAGAGGAGAGAGGAGGAAAGGGGATTGCGGCATGGCCATCCCCCCGGGGGGTGATTTCTCACTTTCTGTCTCTCTGCCTCTCTTGTGAGCGCACACACCCGATAGCAAAAATCTCTCTAAAGAAAATCAATGCACATTCAGCCTCACATTAGGGCAGGAGAAACCACGGGTTTTGCTTGCAGCCTCCTGAGCAACAGTGAGTGAAGCAGTGGCCAGGCAATTCTGTGGCCCGCATGGGCACAACTAGGTTGAGCTGGTGAACATTATAAACCAACTCCACCCCTTCAGAAAGGAGCCAGTGCTTTGGCATTTTGCCCACCATGAGGGGGTGGAGGGAAGCCCCCGTCTACAGCCTTTGAAGTCAGCACCCCAGTGCATGAGGACGGCCGCGGCCCAGCCCTTCCCTCTCCCACATGCCGTCGCGGACGACCACCAGGTTCTCTTGTCCTTTGCCACTGACTGGGGTAGTGGGGGGGCAGTTTACAACGAGGGGGAGCAACGCACAGCCCCACAAATCACAGCCCTCGCTGCAGGCGGTGCGGCCCACCTCCACAGCCCATCAAGGGCAAGTCCACCTGGCTCAGAGCTGCTCCCACATACCTGGAGTGACTAATCACTTCACTCAGCTGCCAGCCCGGAAGCGGCCATGACGTTCCTTCCCGAGTACTTCCTTGCCATGCCCTGAATCCCCCTCCACCCTCCAGCTCCTCCAAACCCGTCTTCCACTTCCTCACCTTGACCATTGCCTGCTGCCTCCCGAGGCCGCCCCTCTCCACGATCTATTCTCCATGCTGCACACGCCCCGTGGGAGGCAGAGCTGCCTCCTCCTGTGCAGAGCGCCCCCTGCAGGTCTTTGTTCTTCCTCACTCTTGAAAACAATGAGAACAGGGCCAGCCCCCGCCCCTCCCCTAGCCTAGCAGTGAAGGAAGCCGAATCTGCATGGCAGACTCGGTTTGAGTCCCAGCCCCTGCCTAGCATGCTGGATGTATGCACGCATGCCCAAATCTCAACAGGATGGAGAAGTGGAGGATGACAGATTCCAGGTTAACCGTGTCACTTTGAGGGGTGCTTTGTTCCCTGTTCCTATCTCTTTGTCTCTCTCTGGCCTGTGCATGTACTTTAACAATTAAAACCTTGAGAAGAGAGCCGGCAGGTGGCATGGTGGTTGGGACGTTGTACTTCCACATGGCTGACTGCAGTTTGGGTCCCCGACCTGGTGGCTTGAAACTCATGCCGGACACGTGTGTATGTGTGCCCAAAAATCCCAAGAGGAGATTGA